ATGGTTGTTGCTGCGTTAATCCGATCCCACCATATGAGCGAAGCTCATAAGTGACGCGTGCTTTGTCCTCTCTAGGAGTTCCCACGGCCCCTCATGTCCTTTCAGTCCATTATTCTTGACTGTGCATAAGGACGTAGCCCCTAACCCGAAACTTAGTTTTGCGAGGGGCACTCTCCTCTGTATGACCATTTACCTAGCTTGGGAGAACACGACAACCCCTGGTATTTGTCAACGGGGGGTCGAAATCACTCAAGTCTGGTAGTATTGCCCTTAATGAGTAGTGATAGCTTTAGCACTTTAGGATAGATTATATTAATCTAAAGTAGTTGGGAAATGAGGATGTAACAATATCTACTCGGAGAGAGATGAGTAGTTCTTGATATATATCTAGAATTTGAGCCCATGGATGAGGATGTAATTGCTGTGGAACTACACGTCCCCACCCGGAAAGGTCCGGAAGGGACCGGTAAACTCAGTGCTAACATGTTATCTTTGTTGCTTTGATCTCCTGCATTAGTGTTTCAATAGTTATTTTTGATCCTGGTCGTAAGTAGTACGAGCCCTTGCCCCTGGGTGCGTCCCCGCAGGATAGTAACACGGGTTACCGGTATCCCTCATCTGCTACTATATTTGAAAGTCAACCCATTAAAGAATTAAAAGAAGAAGTTTGGAATTTTCATTGAGTGGATTATAAATTACGCTAAAGGCATCCTCGCTTCCTACCCAGACTTCAACCTGCAGGTGTACGCTATACAGTCGCCTTTGTTCATCTGGAGCGATAAAGTCTACCCCAAGCCTGAACAAAGAACACCAGGACACAGAGCAAGCTTTAGACCGTAATGTAAATGAGGCTAACGATGGTTCAATATTTTCGTTTAGTAAGTCTACCGTTATGGTCCTAGCTTCATCCCTGCAGCGATCCGGTAACTCGGGATCGGAATTGCGTATGATACCCCTGGACCTTTGTATGAGGTGCACAAATTCCGTCCATGAGATTGCAAGCAGACCGAAGTGGGAGTACCAATGATGAGTTCTGCTCAGAACCATCTTGCGTGGCAGGAGGCTAAGACTCATTGGTATAACGCTCTGTATGCCTGTTTGTGGAATAGAGGCTTGTCTTTTTGTGAATCTTTGAAACACTTCTACTATGATTCTCTCTAAGTCAACCAAAAAGCACGCATATCTCATCAAGTGTCGACAACGCCCCCCGTGGCTGATATGGCACATTTAGGGTATCCTGTGCACGTGCTGATAGCGCATAAGCTGAGTCGGTCTTCGTCTTCTTTCCATAGCGCAACTGCGGCAGTCAACGTGTCACAGTTAAAATTAGGTATATGGTAGCCGTGAGACACTATTTTGGACCCCCTGCACATCCCTGTGTGGCTATGGCCGCGTCACTGCAGTGAGTAATCAGGAGGGGACATGTCCTTCGGCAAGCTGGACAGCTTCATTAGTCTGTTCAGTCTAATAGGATGAACCGTTCATGCTTGACCACCACTATTTGAGTACCACGCTACATAATATGATCGGCCTAACACCATAGACGACATAACCCCGCTTTGGGAAGGAGTTTGTCGTCCTTTGTCCATCCCCATTCTACTGCTTGGCATCCCCCAAATCCGGCTTTTTGCCGATCCCCCACAGATTCACCCCATGGGGTATTGCTGTCCCTCAGCCTTATTTTAGACGGAATACACCTCACTGTGGAAACTCAGTCACTTAGAGACTATACATGTTTGTAAAGCCCACATCTACCCGCTCGCGCGCATCTTGAGAGCAACGCGATTGAGCCACAATGAGTACATCTACCTATACAAGGCGGACATGGTACCGCACCACGTTCTTTAACATCACCGTGGTCTCGGCCTGCGCTTTTATCGCGCCGGGACTGTGGGCAGCTATGAATGGCCTTGGGGGAGCAGGCGCCGCGGACCCGCACTACGTCAACGCCGCCAATTCAGTCATCTTCTGCCTGCAAGTCCTGGTCTGCATATTCGGCAGCGCCATGATTGCAAAGATCGGATTGAAGTGGGCTTTGGTTCTTGGCATGGTGGGCTTTCCAATCTACGCCTCGAGTGTATATTGCAATATCCGGTACAACAATACCTGGTATATCATGCTGGCTTGTGTGATCGACGGGATTTCATCGGGGATCTTCTGGCTCACTGAGGGGGCTATTGTGCTCGCTTATCCTGAGAAGCATCGACGGGGTAAGTACCTGGCGTATTGGCTCGGGAGCCGAATCGTGGGCCAGATGATCGGTGGCTCGGTCACGCTAGGAGTCAACGCTGGGAATCGAGAACAGGGCCATATAAGTGTGAAGACGTACTTTATCTTCATCTCCATACAGGCACTAGGCCCATTTGTGGCGGCTCTGCTATCGTCCCCCGACAAGGTCCAGCGATCGGACCAGTCCCCCGTTTCACTTGACTTGCCTAGGAGCCTAAAGGCCGAACTGAAGGTAATGTGGACGTTGGTTTGCCGGAAGGAGATCCTCTTACTCCTGCCCATGATATTCCAGAGTGTCTTCTCCGAAGCCTTCTTCTCCACCTACAATGCAACCTATTTCACCGTGCGATCTCGCGCTCTCGCCTCCCTCGTAGCTAGTACGTGTGTGATCATCGCGAACTTCATGCTAGGGTTCTTCCTGGATTGGAAGAGACCGAGCCTGAATACTCGCGCGTTAATAGCATTCGTGCTCATCTATAGCTTCGAGCTATCTCTTTACATATACGCCATGATCGTCACTAAGGAGTATGAAAGAAGAGACACTCCGCCTGTTCTGGACTGGGCAGACGATGGGTTTGGTCGTGGCGTCTGCGTCTACATCCTGATGCTCGTTGGGTTTAATCTGATGTACGACTATCTCTATTGGCTGATTGGTACCGTCAATCGCAGTGGTGGTGACATTGTGCGACTGAGTGCTGTTGTTCGCGGCGTCGAGAGCGCCGGGCAGGCGATATCCTATGGGATCAACTCGATTGATCAGACGCGCTTCCCTCTCTCCGGAGCTGTTGCCGTGAATTTGTCGTTCTTTGCGGCGTGCATTGTTCCATCAGCCTTTGTCATTTTTAGGGTTGGCATTATAAATGGTGTCAAGGTGTACCGGATTCAACAGGATGAAGAGGTGCACGGTGGTGGGAGGGATGCAGGGAAAGGACCAGACAATAACTCTCATGGCATTTAAGATATGTACATGTACATGGCCCAGTGATGTTTTCCTACGAACTATTACCTTTGCTACTGCTGATAGATAGTCGGTCCTATCTCATCAGTCATACAGTGACATTCCAAGGGCCTTGCATGGGAAACAAGATAACCCCAATTTCGACCAATGTATATTTCTTTCTCGGCAACGTCTTCTGGCGCTTTGACATAGGTAGTTTGGAATATGCAGCCACTAATCCTCACAATCCAATCAATTAGGGCAGATCATCCCATGACGCTTGTGGTGTGCGGGGTTGCAGATCCCAAGCCACGATCACGTCTTACCGGCGCATTGCCGACCGAGTCGCAAGCGGAGACCGGAAATCCTACTAGGTAGCACATCTGACTGCCTGGCTTGGATCAAGATGCGGGGTTGCGACTAGTCTAATTGATAATTAGCCTGCGGAGTTGGCAACTACCAAACTCACCTGACAGCTTTCCCCAACCATGAGTGTCAACAGCGATTGTAACGTCCATGACCCCAGGTTCCGCGAAAGCAAGCCATCGCAAGGGGAGTCATCGCGACCAGTTGCAGATCTGTTTCGTCTAGATGGGCGGACCGTCGTCAGTACGTTGCTCCGCGTATGGCTGTTTAATGGCAAAGGCTGATCAATCGATGGCTTGGTTTAGTAACCGGTGCCAATGGCTTCCTGGGAACTACGCTGGCGATAGCCATTCTTGAAAGTGGAGGCGATGTGGTATGTCTTGATTTACCTCAGGAGCCTACTGCGACGAATTGGAGTAAGCCTGCCCTCCGACCAATGTAGAATATCCACTGATTAACGATGCAACAGAGGAGGTCGAAGATGCCGCATTGAAATATGATCGCAGTTTATCCTATTGGCCTCTGGACGTCACCAATGAGAATATGGTTGCAGATGTATTTGCCAAGTTCATGCCTACACTCCGGTTCCCTCTTCGAGGACTGGTCGTCTGCGCTGGGATCTCGCGGAATGGACCTGCCATTGACTTCCCGATCTCGACAGTTCGTCAAATGCTAGACGTCAATGTCAGTGGAGCATTCCTGGCGGCCCAGGCAGCTGCCTGGGAGATGAGGCAAGCAGATGTCAGCGGTAGCATTGTATTAGTCGCTAGCATGAGTGGCTACGTATCGAACAAGGTATGCTAACTCAACCTCACTATATCCTTGCCCCAATAACGAAACATACAGGGTGTCGACACGGCGGGATATAACGCCTCTAAAGCTGCAGTACAGCAGCTGGCACGATCGTTGGCAGCGGAGTGGGGTTCGCGAAAGGGTATGCCCCTGATCCGAGTTAACTCGCTCTCGCCTGGCTATATCCGCACAGCGGCGACGGAGGAGGCTCTTCAGAAGCCTGGTTTGGAATCTCAGTGGATTGGGGATAACATGTTGTATCGGCTGAGCACGGCGGACGAGTTCAGAGCCCCAGTGCTCTTTATGTTGGGCGATGGGAGTAGCTTCATGACTGGTTCGGATTTACGAGTGGATGGTGGACACTGCGCGTGGTAGGCGTTTGGCGGTCCTGGATGCTATTTTCGAGGAGATAAGATGGTATCTAAGATCAAGAGAGCATTCGTTGTGCTTTAGATAAAGGTTCGTACCGCAAAGCATCAGACGAATGAGAAAACTGGCACTGCACAAGCAAACCATCAGGGCTCATGTTGTTTATTTTCTGCTTGTAACCATTTACTAACCGCCAAGAATGCAGCTGAAACATACTTTCTAAGAGAATACACAAGTACCATGGAAAGGCACAAACACTGTAATAGCAGGTTAAATGAAAATAACAATCGCCAGATAATAGAAACAATCACGGCCTCGGCGCACTCCCTACAACACTATTCAATTCCGTCCCACCCCCTTGCAAGACCTCCTTCCAGTTCCTCTTTTTCAACCACGCCTCGAACGATTCTGTCTGCAGATCCGTCTTCAGCTGGCTTGGATGAATCACACCCTCAATGCCACCCGAATACCCAAACTCCCCAATAAACAAAAACGCATCCAAGACCTCCCAAGGAATACCAAGCTGCTCATGTATCTTGACAGCCTCCACCTCAACCAGCTCAGCCTCAATCCCGGTAGCCCTGGTCCAAACCTCCACAATGTTCCCAATAGTTAGTTCACTATCATACGCGAGCAACCTCGTCCGTGGAGGTTCATCAACCAGTGCCTTGACAAAAGCCCCGGTGGATTGTCTCGCGGCGATGATCGGCATCTTCTGGTCTTTCTTGAGCGGCACGATGAACTGATACTTCTGGCTGTCTGGATCCCATCTCGGCATGAAAAGAGGATTGGTCGCGTATGCACCGATGATAATGTAGGACGTCTTCTGCGCTAGTTCCGGCGTCTGAGTTTCAATAAACTCCATGATCTCCGCCTTGGCGTCGCAATGGTACGAATGCGGGTACTTCCCATTAGAGTGCTTCTTCATCGGTGCCAACGTGGAGTAGATAAAACGCTCCAGAGTAGGCACAGTTGCGGCGGCGATGGCGGCGTTGCGGCCGTGTTGTATCTCTTGCTCATAGGCCGCTTCGTAGCTTCCCGTGGCATGGAAGGGCCCCCAGAAATCTGTGTTGACGAAGATAACATTGGAGTTGACGAAGCTGAGCCAAGAGAGGCTGTATCGCCGAGGTCCGCCTTGACTATACTGGCACCGAGAGAGGCTAGTGTTTGTGCCTTTGGAGACGAGGGATTCCTAGTGATGCAGCGGACGTGCCAGTCGGGTACTGGGAGGAAGGCGTCTGCGACGGAGAGGCCTTGGTTTCCTGTTGCGCCGACGATAGTGATGGTTTTCATTTTGGTAGACCGGAAATAGTGATAGATTGTTGGAATAGTACTTTGGAAGGTCCGTTAGCACAAGTTTATATACCGGGCTTCGGATGAATTGTAGGGCATGTGGCTATGGTGGCTTACTCTTGGCGTGGCAATTAGGGCTCCTTTCCGATTGGTGAAAAAGCGTAAGCCAACTCCGTCGGGGGAACTTAATCTCAGCATCTCCCAACGTTGTCCCGTAAGCCAGACACTATGCCTGGAGATAACGACGACAGGGCACCAAAACGCCGGAAGCGAGTCATAACTCCGGCGCGGAAAGAACAGAACCGGGTCGCCCAACGGGTATATCGTGAGTATACCCAGCGTTTTCACCGGGACTGGGAGCGCCGCTAATTGGATGAAGGGCAACGGCAAAAAGAACGTCTGCAGCGAGAAAAGCATATCGCTGGACCATCTTGCACATCCAGAGTCCTACAGCCAGCCCCAGCTGTAAAACATATGCAGGCAGAAACTGTGGATTCAATCGACTGTTGTACGGGAGATGTTCCCGTAGTGCATCCAGACACTCGAGAGAGGCAATGCTTAGCACCGATAAAGTTAACTCTGGATCATTTATTTCCTTCGGAGAGCGCTCGTGATACACATAATGGAGATGCACAATCTCAGCGCATTAAGGAGCATACTTCGAATGAGAACACACCGCCATCAAGTTCCACGGAGATAATGTTACCTGACCCGTACCAGAACACTCTCGAATCAACACATACTATGCTTCTCCGCGCATGCCTTCACAATGCCCAATGCCTTGGAATCAGCATCAAGCAATTCTTCAGCTATGAGTGTATGTCTCTTTGTTCACCATTCTATCGACCCAACACTACCATGTCGGATGACCCTCACGCCCTCATCAAGAACGTTTCGAGTCCATCTACCCCTGCGCATCTCCAACCAACCTTGCCTCAGATCCTCTTTCCGCATCATCCACTCTTGGATCTACTGCCACTGCCTTCATTAAGAGCCAGAGCGGTCATGTTAGCTGCTACGGCACCCACCTTGATGGATGCTGGAGAGCTCAAGAGAGATATCGTGGAAAAGGGTGGTATTATCTGCCAAGGAGAACAGCCCTGGGAGATGCGCAGTTGGGTGGCTGCGCCATGGTTCTTAAAGAAATGGAGGTTGCTAATAGGCAATTGCTAAGTTACCATGAAGCTGTGAGCATTGTTGCGAAATTTGCTGGCCGAAGATTTAAGCTCTATATAACCTTTCGTTCGTCATGTTAATGAAACTGTTCGGCGGATTTCATAGTGCGGTCTTGGGCTATATATCTTGGGCCGCATCTTGCGAAACATGATATAGCGGGTCACAATTGTCCCGAGCTCCTGCTCGATGTGAGGTGCATATGGAAGGTCTTTCGAGGGGAAAGAACAAAGTTCTGGGCATGAATATTAATGCGCAGTTAAAATCAGAAAGACATCGATGGATCCGCTGAAAAGAAAATAAAATATTTCAAGGATAGACAGATAGCTACAGTATGCCTCAATCTTCTTCCAGTCAGACGGAGCATTCTTGGGAGGTTATACTCTCATATAGGGGACCATAGTAGGGCAGCTCAACAATTGCCCACCTATGTGTGATAGTTTCACAGGCCTCGGCCATAGGTCGGTGAGGCTCCCGAATATCCCTACGAGGATTGAGAGTTGTATCACACACATGGGCCTTCCCCGTGCAGTGACAGGCAAGAAATATTAATGGACTATATAATTGAATTTCTTTAGACCTGCCCATGAATAGTAACTTTTGTATTATGACGTCTTGAAAACTGGGTATGCTACGTAGCATGGAGAGAGGGCTGATAGGTATCTAGTATGGACTTCCACCGCGGAGAGTCCATGAGCAGCGTATTAGGCACCTCTCTCTCGATGTACTGTATTGCAGGAAGACAGTCAGAGCTTGATTGTAAAAGCCTTGAATAATTGATAGTCAAGAGAAACTTACATCACGGTATTTGCTTTCCATTCTCATTCTCAGGAAGCATTTGAACGGCATTGTATCCTTGGTAAAAAACTCATGTAGCTTTGCTCCAGGTGAATCTTTGCCAGCGCCCAAGACTGCCGATAATATTTCGAGTGTGATTGCCCATCCGCCATGGTTCTCCAATCCCAATGCTTCAAGAAGCAACCCGACGTGGTTCTGGAGGAGTGAATGATGCACCTTGCTCCATACATTGTCCAAATTAGCTGTCAAGGTCGCTCCTCCAGGAGGCAAGGAGTCAAATTTCACGCCATGCTTCTTCAATGTTGGGACATGCATTCTGACACCTCCAAAGTCGCGTACAGCGAATCCTTTGATTTGGCCCGTCTGGCGGCAAACACGAGCCACTAGGTTCTGCCCGTGGCCCTCTAGTCCGATGCCATACTGAACCAATGGAGGGAGGACAAGATTAAACAGTACTGTAACATATCTGTTCGTAGACCAGTTAGCCAGCATTCTCCATATTAACCAACATCAATGAGGTCGGCCAACCTTTGGAACCACTCCTTCTTCTGGGCGATTGTTTCCAGGTTGTACAAAACCTCCACATATGTACGGCTGTCTCCATAAGGGCGCTGGCCCAATGCCGCAGCGATAATAAGTACCTCATCATTTGCTTGTGCTCTGCGCTCCAAGCTATCTCGCAGAATACAAGAGAGATGGCGCGCCTCATTGAAATCTTCTTGGCTGCCTGAGACAGCTGCCACCTCTCGGAAAACCCAGAGATCATCTGGCAGAAATCTCTCCAAGAGTTCCGTTTGAACTGGGCCGCCACAGGTCGTCCACGGCGTTATAGTTCGCAGAGCGGAGGTAATCTGACAAGCCAATGAGAGTTTCAGGTGGTAGTCAAATTCAAACTCTGGGCGTATGGTGAGTGTCCGCATAGATGCTTGGGCATCAGCGCAGTCTGTGACGAGTTCCAGAATGACAGCATCAGGGAATCTCTGGTGAATAGAGGGCAGCTGTTGAGCGAGACAGGGGACCGTCACTCGATCCTTAGTTGTCTCTGGGATGTCTAACTGTTGCAGTAGAGGTTGCAGTTCTCGCTCAAACTGACCCGTTATACGGAGATTGTCGCGTGGTACTGAAACAAACGCCAGAGTCGGCTTCAGCATCCCAGGGATATCTCCAGGGCTGACGGGCTTTAGTGGTGCTTGAGCGTAGCATAACCGGTGATACTTTTAAGAGGTTAGATTCCAACAAGATACGTAGGATGGCATCTCAGGGGCCATACGGGATGACTCGGATGGCCATATATCAATGCCCGCTCCCAGTTCGCAGATGTATCCTCCAAACTCAACAATTTCTGACTTTGGCTGATTTCCAACCATTTTTCTGAAGGACCTGTTAGTACAGCAGGCGGAGGGATAAGGCTTTCAAGCTCTTACCCTGGTTCCCTGCCGAGTTACGTAGCTCCTGAGCTATAGCTTCCAGCACCGTCCTATCCGCAGTATCCTGAAATGAAGCACTTAGAAGCCCGAATATTGCGCCAGGGTCCAGCTCTTGATTCCCGGTATCTCCAAGAACCACAGGGGGCTGGAGGCTGGCTGGTCGGACGACAGAAATTACGTGGTCCTCTTTCATCTCAATGACAGTGCCCGGTTTGATCCCGACCCTAATGCAAATGTCATCTTGGGTACTCAACAAGCAAAGTACTTGTGACCCTCCTGGCACAGTCACTTCGACCTTCGCATCGACCAATCCTTCATTGACAAGTTCGGCGAGAACTCGTCTCGTTGTCTCGAATAGAGCTTGGTCGTGCCAAGAGGGGACTGTCATGATGTCTGTCGAAATTGTGAGAAGCTCCACCGGATGAAACATCCATCTCTCCTTAAATAGCCCAGCTCCTCCAGGTGGGGACAGGTACGCTAGAACTGTAGCACGTTACTTGAAGCTACCACGATTGGCTAGTTTTCACTGGTCTGTCCTTCGTGTCTGAGGCAGCAGGCAGCTTCGTAATTGGGACTTTTCTATTTGCTACCATACTCTGATCCCTCATGCTGCCCACTATGACCTATCATCTGTATTTTGTCGATCTCTTCGGTCCCGTTTCGGCGCGGTGTGGGACCGCAGATCGGTCGATTCGGAAAGGATCTGAACAAGCTGAGGTCAAGATTTACCAGCGTATCTGTGGAGGTGCACCTCAATGAGTAGTTATAACTAGCTCGTTCTTGTGCTGAAGAGCTTGTTGTTTCGCCAATCTTCCTCACGTTGAGAAAACAATTCAAATTTCGGCCATGGCTTCAGAAATCGAACAGGTTCCTTATTTTCCCAATCGCAATGGTTATGAATCGCGTATATTTGATCATTCACAAAACTCATCCATAGAGACGGACCTTCCTGCTGGATTTCCCAAAAGCTTAGTCTCGAAGATGGCTTGGGAAAGAGAGGATATCTCCCTGGACGAGGCACCAGCTAGTGGAACTCCATACGTGTTGATTTTACAGGGTCCGCAGCTGGCAGAGATTGAGGCGGCGCTCAGACACTTTCAAAGTCAGCAAGCCACGGCCGTAGTTCCTTTCATATCTTGTTGATGGCTGACTTGTCCACTGCAGGTTTGGCTCAGCCAATGGACACGCTTGACCCGTCAACGTTTCCTCTTCCGTGCTTACACTCAATTCTCCGGTCGGTATCACACAATCTACATTCGGGCTATGGCTTTACTCTCATTCGTGGAGTCCCCGTGGAGCGCTATACCCGTGCTGAGAACATGATCATTTATGTTGGCATTTCATCCCATATTGCCGCCATCCGCGGTCGCCAAGACCATCAATTTGAGGGGCAGCCAGCAGACGTGATGCTAGCACACATAACCGACATGCGGCGCCCAGGCGACGTGCAGAATTACGCACTGGCACCGTATTCCGACAGCGAGGTGGTATTCCACACCGACGTGGGGGATATCGTGTCCCTCTTTGTGCTGGGCGAGCCAGCAAGTGGCGGTGAAAGTCTTGCGAGTGGATGGACCGTGTACAACGCACTAGCAGAGATCCGCCCCGATCTAATCCACGTATTGGCAGAGGACTGGCCGATCCCCAGGTATGTGGAGAAGTCCTTGTTGAGCCTACTAATGACATGCTTTCCTAACCATCGAATCCGCTCTGCTAGCGCACAGGAACCCGGAGTCTTTAAGTACCGACCACTACTGTATTATCAGCCAAGCTGCGAATCAGCCCCTGAACGAGTGATCTTGCAATTCTCGCGGCGCTCATTCTCTGGGTTTGGAGCCCACTCCCAGCCGAGCATGCTCTCTCCAACTCAGGTCGAGGCACTGGATGCTCTCCACTTTCTGGCGGAGAAGCATCACGTGGAAATGGAGCTGAAAAAGGGCGATATGCAATTCATCAATAACCTTAGTATGATCCATGCTCGAAATAGCTATGTAGACGATCCAGAGAATCGGTAAGTTTACGCGCCATATCCTAACGTTTGATAATTCATATTGGCTAATCCAAGGCATGTCCAGACGACACCTGCTACGCCTGTGGCTTCTTGATCCTCAAAACGCGTGGGTCACGCCCGAGCCACTGCGCAGTCGTGCAGATCGGATTTATAGCGACAACCACCGACGCGGTCCGCAAATTTTTCCTGTGGATCCGATCCCGAGGTCGGTGGGGAAGGCTAGAAAAGATTGAGATGACTCGTAGAATGCAACTAAGATTATTAGGAGGTTTAGTCAATTAAGTGACTATTCTTGGCTTTCAGCTGTTCTCCGATCTGCTGTATATAGGGCATTTTAAGGTATTCAAATGCTATATCTCGGGGAATAAATACCCCGTCGGGCTTGAACTTATTATACAATAGGCGCAAATCCCGATGATCTCCATCAGTTTGCGGCTGAATTGGTCGGTTATTGAAGTTTGAAAATCGGATCCACCCAGAACCTTTTCACATATTGGGGCCGAGTGGATGCCGAGAAAAAATATTATCACGAGATAGAATAGACATAGGATCCACCCTTTTTCACCATCTTCCCGTGGTTCCTTCCAGAGGTCGCCGTGAACCAAGCACGGTCTAGCTTTACGACCATCTCTCTCCAGAGTTTCCATTAGTCGTGGGACTACAGCCTCGGCAGCTCTCCGCATCGGTATTTCCAAGTTTTCCCAAGGGCCCTTTGTTCCCGCATCTGGACTCAGCGCATTGCCCAGCAGCTTGGAAAAGAAACAGTCCGGCTATTCTCCCATGAATCCCGTTGAGCCTTGACAGGTGATGACATGGAACCCGAACCTCCCGATCGGCAAGACACCAGTTTCGATGCGGCTTCGCAGCATCGATGATCTTCCTCATGTCCTCAGGTGATATGAGGAGACCAAAAGACTTCCAGGTGGAAACTTGGCAAGTATGCTTCTGTACCTGAGAAAGTGGTTGTCTCTTCTGGGAAGCATTGAAGCGCTCCTGGCCAGGGCCGGCGCTACTAGGTTGCATATGAAGCTCGACCTTGTAGACGGAAATATAGAGGTCGGTTTACAGCTTGGAGCGAGGAAGCTGTTAAATTAGAACCAACCGATGCAGGGGTGGGCTAGCTGTAGGACAGTAGCTCACAGAGATGGCAATCGTTCTTGTTTAGATTCATGTGGTACGACACGACGAATTCGATTACGGTGCGGTGTTAAGAAAGATATATATAGAAGGAGAGCTCTTGTTTACCCGATATTCGTGGGTTGTAGTACAAGCACACTATGAGCTGATTGTGCCTTTCTCGCTGTTCAGGACGGCCATATTTATACGTATTGGAGATGAGGTCAGGTCTAAGGACCTCAGATGACCATGTTGCCCGCCATGCCCTAATTAAAACCTGAGCATGCTGCATATCATTCCAATCTACTAGGCTTACTTGGTAATAGTGCAAAATCGAGGCAAGAGAAAAGAACAACGCCATATCATACCCCAGATGGACGCCGTTTCATTTTTACATTGACTATACCTAAAACATTGTTGGGGATGTTTATGAAACGCGAAACATTAGCCTATCCGCGCGTTCCGTTCCTATTTTCGAGCTTCATGCGTACGTGATGACCTATCAACCGGACTCCACCCCAATTCTGGCCCCGGAAGCCCAGGAACGCGGCGTCTTGGCAGGTGCGCCTCGTGGTGGGGAGAAGGGAGAACGTGCCCGGATGATGGTTCGGCACCAGTTTTGAGCGAATTTCGGCTGACGCTCTGGCATACTTTTGTATAGCGACTACCTAGGCCAGGTTGATAGTCTAATCTTCTTAAATATAGTACCTGAATTATGTTTTCTGGAAACTGGACTCCGGGGTCCATATATATGAATCACAGACATGTTCCACTCCCAAGAGCTTCTAGGCAGCAGAGCATTCTTAGCGCGCGCCCCCTTACTCGGCATTATTCACAGCTCCCTTGGAAGCAACCAGGGGGAAGTTCTTACCCCTTTATATGGAACTCCTGTCAATATGGCCACATAACATAATATAGCCACATCCATGCAACTCATCTCGCGATGAAAGCATACCTATCCTGCGTGTACAGGCGGACGCGCCGACTCCGACTAGCCCTTTCATTGGTCATCGTTGCATGGACCCTAGTAGAAGTGCTACACATTAAATACACGCTTGTGCAACAATCACAGCCTGAGCCAGTTACATTAGGAAATGAAAAGATCTACATCACCGGCCTTCACTGGAACAGCGAGCAGATCCTACGGGAGGCATGGATCGCGGCCGTGGTGGACCTGGCTAATGCGATCGGCCGGGACAAAGTCTTTGTCAGCGTACAGGAAAGTGGCAGTTGGGACGATACCAAAGGTGCATTGCTCCTCTTAGATCAGCAGCTGGCGGAACATGGTATTCCAAGGAGGATTCTCATGGACCATACCACCCATATCGACGAGATCAGTAAGTCTCCTACCGACGAGGGGTGGATTGAGACGCCAATTGGGACAACTGAGCTACGCCGGATACCATATCTGGCTAAATTACGGAATGTAGCAATGGAGCCGCTCTATGAGCTGCGGAGTGAAGGGATTATATATGATAAGATTCTATTTTTAAACGACGTGGTTTTCACCGTAAGTAAATAAAAACTGACAAAATACAATCTATATACCTTCTAACCCATGCCTTAGACCCACGATATCCACAAGTTACTCTCCACAAGAGGAGGCAACTACGCAGCAACCTGCTCGCTCGACTTCTCCAAACCCCCCAATTTCTATGACACTTTCGCCCTTCGCGATGCAGAAGGCCATGACATGCTCATGCAATCATGGCCCTACTTCCGATCTCGAGCCTCCCGTCAGGCCATGAAAGACAGTCAACCCGTGCCTGTCACAAGCTGCTGGAATGGTGTAGGTCAGTAAACCAACCTAACCCAATCACCACCAACCGATCATTAACAATCCTGCCCAGTCGCAATGAACGCAGCGCCTTTCTACCAACATTCACCGTTAAAATTCCGCGGTATCTCCGACAGTCTTGCAAGATCACACTTAGAAGGCTCCGAGTGCTGCCTTATCCACGCGGATAATCCCTTATCCAGGGAGAAAGGGGTCTGGCTTAATCCCAACGTTCGTGTAGGGTATAATTCCCCTGCCTACCTGGCCGTTAACCCGGTGGAAAATTCATGGCTATCGAGTTTTAGCATAGCTAGCGGAGTATGGAAGAACCGGCTCCTACGGTGGTTTACCACGCCATGGTTCAAGGAAAATATAGTCTGGATGCGGTTGTGGAAGTGGGAAAAGCTTTCGGGCAGAAATATAGAGCCTGGGCCGTTTTGCCTCGTTAATGAAATGCAGGTCCTTACGGAGAATGGATGGGCCCATCGGTAGTGGCTTTGTTTTGGTATAGATAGAGTAAATAACCAAGCTTCACAGCGTATCTCACGATATGCACCAGACATGTTCTAAGTAACTTTAATTGAGCCAATTTCAAACCCAATTTCTAGCAAGCCCACTAGATGAAACGTTTATCCGATCATATTAAGGTTATCACTCGTGTTGATCGCTAGGTATACACTAAGTGCATCAGTCTCCACACAGCATAGGACCTACCAATGTCGATCGCGCTGATCACAATACATTATGCTCAGTTTCTAGAAATCTACCTTGACCAATTAAATACACAATATATGTTATTTCGATTTTTATCACGTCGGGGAGCTGACATCATGCTCTCAGATAAGACGTGCCTAGCTTCGCATAGGGGCTGTCTTGCGCAATGTCAGCAATTATGCAACCTTTCAGAAAATTGCAAAGGGAGATATACTTGGATATATGATTAATGTGGAACTAAATTTATCTTACTGTCTACAATCAAAGTGCTGGCCTGCTCTGATCCTCTAGTCTTACCATTTCTAGTAGGAGTCGATAAAAATACATCGCTAGATCAATTTCCGGGCCTCCGCCCGCTCCGCAGCCTTTCTGGCTACTCGCTGTCCAGCTTTAGTAGATGTGAGATAAAGTACTATCACAGGAAACTCCCATACCTTTGCTACCTGGGATGTAGTGAACCCACGGCACTAGACGATCGTCCTGCCACTCTCAAGAGATCATCTGGTTTAACGGGACAGACATTGAAGCTAAGAGCTTGTAGTAAAGACCACCGATGCCATTGCCGTCAGCATCTTTGATCAGAGTGCTTGGCCCTTCTCGGCCTAATACTTAAAACCCAAATTATGCACGTTACATTTGCACTTCCTCCTGTTGCATCCAAATTTTCGGGCAACGGCGACGTCGAATAAACTAATATTGAGGGATGATAATCTCAGCCGGCCAATTACACCGTTATTGTCCTGCAGGTAATCATACAGATGGCCCTCTTGGTTCTGTGCTAGCTGAACAATTCTTTGGGTGGTATTGCTACCACTCGTCGTTCGAAGCAAAACCACAATTAGTAGACTCAGCCTAGTAAAGATTGTTACACTTAATACTGTAGTCAATATCACTCCCCTTGTTGTATTGAAGCTCGGGATCAATATATGCAGGGCTATGATATAATATTTTAATCGTATTGGAAACGCTGCGGAATGGAGTTCAGAGGTATATATTCAACAAAAAGAAACCACTTCAACTCGACTTCGAATATATCTCTCAATCATCCAGAAAGATATCTTACCTTCTATGTATTTCTTTATCTTGAATTCCTGGCTTTTAATATTAGTTATCTTTGTAAGAACGGCCGTGATGTACAGGCAAGTGTGTTCGCCACTGGGCCAAAAGATCATTTTCATCACACCCTGTACTTTGATCTGGCTGGATCGCACGTGGAGTAGATATAGACGGTGAGCCCGGTATGACAGGTACCTAGTAACTATTTAATAGCCCTGATGAGTTCTGAAGCGCTCTGGCATTGCAGCTTAACTAATTTATGATGGTCTAATCGCAATACATACCTATACAGAATAATAACACGTTTAAGCCTTCTTATACTGGGTATCCTGTGACCATTGGCTAATCAACATCTTAAAGCTTACCGCAAAAGAATCACCTACAACTAGTTTACTAGTTAGTGGTGGGAAGCGCTTACATGCCTGGTGTAAATGTATACCGTATTTTAGATGTTAGATATACACAACGTAGACTATAGTTAATCCTTAACTATCTCCATTTCAAAGCCTTCCTTCAGTTTCTGTTCGCCTCAGCAGCATGAGGAATTAAATGAGAATGAAGAAAGGCTCT